CTGCTACCACTGCTAAGGTCTTGGAGAATACCCTGAGAGCACATGCCATCCTGAATGGAAGTACTTTTACTGGAAATGTTCATCTGCTACTATAAACCGAAGAAATCGGCTGTGTGCCACATGCATTGCAATGTGGAAGTAAGCATCCTGTAATTCGAGGACTGCGAACCAATCTCCCTCGTTCAGTGTTGGTATAATTGTAGCTAGGGTGACCATTTTGAAGTGTTGTTTCCGGAGGTATCGGTTTAGATTTCGTAGGTCCAAGATGGGTCTCCATCCTCCATTCTTCTTTGGAGTGAGGAAATATTGAGAAAAGAACTCTTTTCCTTGGAATTCCTTGGGCACTCTCTCTATTGCTTCAATGGTGAGCATGCGATGGACCTCTTTTTCAACCGATTCTCGTGAGATGGGTCCCTGAAAAGGGATGGGATGAGTGGGGTGGTTGGGGGAATTGAAATGAAGGGGATGGTGAGACCAGAAGCTACAATTTCCAACACCCATTTGTCCGTGGTGATAGACCAATGGTGGTAATACGGCCTTAGACAATGTTGAAAAAGGAGTGAGATAGAAGCTTTGTTCGCATCCTCGACTAAACCTTCAAATTGTTGTTTTGTAGATGGCTGGTTAGAGGTACGGGCAGGCTGCTGTTGCCTCTGCTGAGGACACTGCCGGAATCGTTGATGTTCCAGGGTGCGAGGCTGTTGCCTATGGAAGGAGAAATCATATCGTCTTTGGTAAGTATAATAGTGCTTTTGCCTGAAGGGGAGTGTATACATCCCTAGTGTGCGAAGTATAGTTCGAGAATCCTTCCCTGAGTGCAAGACCTCATCCATTTTGCTAGCGAAGAATTTATGCTTGTCAAAGGGCAAGTCCTCAACCTTATTCTGGAGTTCTTTTGGGACTACCACTGATGATAGCCATGAAGATCTCATTGCCACCCCTGTAGCGGTGGCTCGTGCGTCAGTGTCCACCACATTCATGACGATTTGTAATGTGGCTCTACATGAAGCATATCCCTCTTGCACTATGGATTTGAGCAATGAATTTTGAGTCAGGGAGATGCTGTAGAAGGTCTGCTAATTTTGAATAATTATCAAAATTATGATTGGAAAGGAGAGCAGAATAGTTGGCAATACACAGTAGTAATGTGGCTGAAGAGTAAACTTTTCTTCCAGAGATATCTAACTTATCTTTTTCTTCTTCTGGGTATTTCTGTATTGTGGTACTTTCTATCTATGCTGTACCGTGTCGACCACCAATGAGTTAGGCTGGAAGTGATTAAACAAAAAATCCAAGCCCTTGGAAGGACAAAATACTTTCTATCCACTTTTTTACTCCATGGTGGAGCGGATGCTGGAGTTTCCCATATTTCCTCCGCAACCTGCATGATCGCCTCATTGATGTGAAGTGCGATTCTACTCTGGTGCTGTGGGCGTAGGTTCTTCAAAAGACGGTGTTGTTTCATTTGAATGTCTCCTAATTGTACCTCCTGGCTATCTGCAATGCATTTGAGGAGATCCTGAAATTGTTTCAGGTCATCTGGCGGAGAGACGTTGTCTGGAATCACTGCCTCAACTGGAGAGGATGATGAGTGGTCAGTTGGTGATGTGCCCTGCTGAGGGTCCTCTGGATCGGAGAGTTGTCCCTCTTCTGACTCCGACTGCTCCAGTTGAATCGTTGGGCTCTTTGGAGGAGGAAGCAGTGAATGTTCATGTTGAGGCTCTGGAGGTAAGGGTTGAGAATCGGGAAATGAACAGCAACATGTGTGTCTCCTGTAGTATCGGGAGGTCCGATCATGATAAGGAGGGTCATAATACGTCCTATGGTAATGACCTTAGTGTCGTTCTGAGTGTGTTGGGGATGAGTGCCAAGAAGATAACATACTACTAAGTCTTATATAGTAATGACACCTTGGTGACCGGATAGGCGATCGTGAATAATGCAGTGAATGCTGTGGAGATGGGGACTATGACAGAGAGAGTCTCCTCTCTCTATATCTTGGTTTCCTATAGCAGGAGTAATGATCGGGGACACTGCGTGCCCGATTGTGGTGCCGGTGACATAACTGTGGGGAAGAGGATGGCCCTGGAGGGAAAGTTGGGGAAGGAGAAACGAGCCCTGGATGCATAGTCGTATGTGCTAGGGCTTCTTCTGGTGCCGCCATGATATTCCCCTGCAGCGGTGCAAGGGAATGCAGTGCCGAGCGTGCCTGCCCCGGCGCTGGCGAGGTTGTGGTCTACAGTTTAAATGTTGCCGGTGCCGGTGGCGTCAGTGCCGCAGCCATCTAGACTGTTCCTGCTGCCAGTGCCGATGCACCTGGTGCCGCTGATCCGGCTGCCCCGTGTTGGTTTCCACGGTGCCGATGCCAATTGCGCTCTCAGTGGCGATTTTTTTCCGTTGGAGGCCGGAGTCCGCTGAGACCCTGCAGCAGTTGTCCCTGACATGCCCAGACCATCTTTCAAGCCCCGTCCAGTGCTAAAAGCCGCTGGGAGAAATCGGGTTAGAGATGGCTTAGACTTTTTTGGGGCAGATGCCTCAATGGCAGTAGTACTGCGCTTGTGCCCAGAAGGGATAGGCAAATCAGCAGACTGTAATGCCTTATCCATCAGAAGCATTTTTAACCGTCTTTTACAGTCTTTACGGGCTCTGGCTGTCAGCTTACAACAATGCTGACACCTTTGCGGTACATGTGCTTCTCCTAAGCACTGTATGCATGCCTCATGCCTGTCTGACACTGGCATGGGCTCCCGGCAGAGCATACATTTCTTAAAACCTGGGGAACCAGGCATTTCTGACAGAGGGTTATTTCTCATTGAGGAAATATATTTTTAAAGAACTATGAACAATAATACAGCTAAGACTAATTGTAACTGGGTATGCTATTAACTATTTACAGATTAAACCTAAGGAGAAACTCTGAGAAAGAGATGGAGCTCCGTCCACGACCGAGGGCGGTTGGAAGGAACTGAGTGGAGCTGGACCAGACGCAACAGATGAAAGGCGCGAACGGTGCGAGCCACTGCTCATGCATGCACAGTCTGGTGGAGCACAGATATGCAAGTCTCCAAGCTGCAGTGCCGGGACGAGCCCGACACCATGAATGGAGCATCCATGGGGACCATTCGAAGAAGAATTTGAAGATTTTCTGAAGTGCTTTTTTCCTTCTTCTACCTTTTTTTGCAGGGTCACCCAAGTTAGGTCACTGGTCTCTTTTCTGTTGTTCCTTTTTAGCTCTTACCCCATTAGGCAATGGCATATCACACCATCTGATACATAAGTGGAAGGGAAATGTAAGGAAACATCCCCAAAGATCCTAGATCTTAGGACCGTAAAAAAGAAAGGGAGAAAATATGCCATGTACCTTTCAAGTGTTTCAAATACTCCCTTTTTTGAAAGTAAGATGTATCTCCCTTTATAGACCAGCTTGAAGACCATTTTGACTTACCCCTGACAAATTTTTGACTGGCACAGTATTTTGGTATATCCCAAGAATGGAAGAAGGCTGACTTGCACTTATGGAAGTGTCTTCAGTGGTGTACTTCTGGTTAAAAGAGGATTCAGGGGTCTTAACAAGTCATCAGTCTCAGAGCCTAATCCTGAGGCATAGCAAGGGTCCAAAGACTAGAGTTATTATGGTACAGCTTCACTTCAGAGGCTATTGAGAGGATTTCCTTATCAGTTGGAGCACCTCTTAGTGCCAGCCCTTGCCTTCTACTATGGTGGGAGAACAAACAGAAAGAAGGAACACAGCAGGATATCCCATTAAGGGACTAGAGTCCTTGAATTTTCTTTTTTCTAATGGAGAGGAGAAAATGAGGGAAAACATTTTGATTACTGATGCCCTAAAATCAGCGTTAAAAGATGAGATTATAACTGATAATGTGAAAATATCAAACTGTCACTCCAGTTGTCCTATGAGGAATCACTAAAGCAAAAGGGGCACTACTAAGCCCTTAAAGCTGGTGGACAAGTCTGACCTACTTCCAGGCTTGCATTATGCCAGACATGAAAAGTCACAATGCAAATATCTGAGGGTATGTCTACACTACCCTCCTAGTTCGAACTAGGAGGGTAATGTAGGCATACCGCACTTGCAAATGAAGCCCGGGATTTGAATTTCCCGGGCTTCATTTGCATAAAGATCTTTGGATCATTTAGCCCTTTGGAGAGCTGCGTCAACGACCAAAGAGTTTGGCTGCGGGTGAGTAAAAAGGAATTCACATCTTTAAATGGCTACCTTATGAGAAATAATCAGAAATTAGGCAGACATACAGACACAAATCTCTTGAGCACAATTTTACTTAATGTGTTTTTGTCAAATTAAACAAGATACACAAGGGATTTGGTCCATTCTAGACACAAGCTGAGAGACCTTTTTATGTCCAACTTCGAAAAGAGAGACTCCCCAAGTAAAACATGAAGGAATGGAAGACATTAGTAGGATGAGTGATTCAGATAAATTTCAAATACATCATTTTGGAATGAATTTATAATTAGCTTTGCCTATATTTATATTAATTATTATATGAAAGTCAATTACTATATGATCTAAAGTTCCTGGAATCACAAATATAACTTTTCACATTAGAATTTTAGCTGAAAATGAAGTTATGTTAGCTGAGGACAGACTTAGCTATTTGTTCCACAATCCAAGAGCCTTAATAATAATTATAGAGAGAGAGAGAGAGAGAGAGAGAGAGAGAGAGAAAGCGAGAGAGAGAGAGAGAGAGAGAGAGAGAGAGAGAGAGAGAGTAAGTTTTTCTCAGATGTTTACTTACCCATGCCCATCTAGTCTGATATTTCCAACAAAATCATATAGATGTCGATTTGGGCTTTCACATTCAATTCTGCCCAAAAGTCTCATCAAACTGTCAATGTCTTTTATATCTGATGTCAATGGCAAGCCCTATAAATAAAGTTTGTTGTAACATTATATTATAAAATTACTTTACAATAAACAAAATATAAAATAGTAAATTAACCTATATATTATACAATAGATTGCGTCTGGCACTGCACATATTGCAAAAGCAGGGAAGGGAGTTTCAATGTTGGCATCCATAGAGATGTCAGCAGAATGGTATCAGGTAGCATAGGTACAGATCTTGCCCAGTAATACAGTAGCACAAACTTCTTGAAAAAGATGGGGATGAAAGACAGAGTCATAACTCAAAACATCCATCCTCACTAGACAGTGGAAATAGGTTCTTTGTAAAGGCCAAAGAAGGTGGCATCTCTTTAGCTAAAAGTTTTTTTCCTCCTGAAAGATGTGGAAGAAGTGGTTTAAGGAAGAAGAGGACTCTCAGAAGAGCTAACCAACCAAGGAAACAGGACCATCGACGGAGCCATGTAGATGAGTGTACTTGAAAAAAGGAAATGAAGCGGCAATTTAAATAATCCCCGCTTCATTTACATCAAAATGCCTGCTGCGCTGTGCCGATCAGCTGTTTGGCGGCACAGCGTGGTAGTCTGGATGCTCCGCGGTCGACAAGGGAAGCTTCTTGAAAGGGAATCCTCTGAACTGTCATTCATGTTAAAATTCGACACTTTCCAAAAAGGACTGAACAAACATTTGAACTATTTCACCCATTACCAAGATAGTTTCCCCAATTATCACCTCTAATACCATTAACTCACAAACATCCCACTCTCCCCACCTCTAATATCATCAATTCACAGACACTTACCTTCCTTCCTTTTCCCCTCCCCCCTGCATCCGCCTCCTGTTCTGCAATGTGATTTGTCCTTTTCATATTTGTTCTTTTTTTTAATTGTATCCTTTGGTATATATGGTTGTGACTACTTTCTTCCACTATTTGATCTGAGGAAGTGGGTCTGGCCCACGAAAGCTCATCATCTAATAAACCATCTTGTTAGTCTTATACATGGAAAGGTACACAATAAAATATTTACAATAGCTGTAACTAATATATTGAAATATATATACATTCTTACCTGTCGTATTTTTAGGTTTGTTTCACCGTCTAAATTTGATGTTTCAATGTAGCACATGGCTTGTGGCTCACTTATTTAAAAAAAAAATAAAGCAATTATCTTAAATAGACAACAATATAAAATATACTGACATGTAAAAGCTTTCTGTAATCTTTTAACATATAATTAAAAAAAAAAATCCTCCAGATAAAAATCTGCTAGTAACAAATATTTCTGCAAAATTATTAAGTCATTCACATTTTCAGAAAATCTGCCAATAATTCTTTATCAAATCTATTCATAAAGAAACGTGCATATATAATTGGAGTTTTCTGAGAAAGCTACCTGTTCAAGATTCACATGTGCTCACAAATTTACATTTAACAGCTGATCAGAATATTCCAGATATTTCAAGTTCATTTGCAAATGGTTTCTTACTATATGTCTTTTTAATAGACATGCAAAACTGATATAAAACTACCATATAGCTTCCAAAGATGTCTTACTTCTTTTTTATGTAAGTCCTGTTCTCAAGGAATGAGATTATAAATTTGAGCTCGTGCAAGATATTGCATCTGGAGTCATGCATTTATTCAGACACACACTAATAAGTGGTTCATATTATATTACCCCATCATGTATTGCCATCACACTATATATCCTATGACAACAGACTTAGGCTCTTAAATATTAGCTAAAAAAATAATATTTTTTATTCTTAACAAGACCTTTTCAGATACATTATTCCCATTTTACAAATAGGAAAATTGAAGTACAGAAACATCAAGTGACTTGCCTAAGGTCACATGGCGAGTAAGTAGCAGAGCCAGGAATGATGGTTCAAGATTTCTGAAATGTTCTACTCAGCTGTCAGTTCCTGGACAGGAACACAGAATCAGTAATTTAGATCTGTGGCAGAAATTTCACTTTGTTTTTGTAAGGGCCCAAAAACTTATTAAAAATACTGGATGTAAATAAATGGGCATTTAATCTCTACAGTGATTTACAATTGTTTAGATTTTAACAGAAAATGCTTTTATTCTCCTTTTTATAGAATTAAATTGGAATGTCAATATTATAATTAAATAAATAAATATAGAAAGTTTAAAAGCATAGTTTCAGTCAATGATGAATAACAGAAAATGTATTTTATTTGGAAGCAAATATACTGAATTTTTAAATTTGTATTGATGACTTCTTCATATTCTGACCATATGCTAGCAGTAAAATCTGACGTTAAATTATCATAAACCTTTTATTTTAAGATTGAAAAATACAGCTCTTTTTTGGGGGGCAACTTTTCTAAGAATGCAAATGACAGACTTCGAATTAGACTATTTTTGTATGGCTGATTCAATAAATGAAGGAGTCAAATTCTAGCATTTTTCATTAGTTTAACAGTCAAAGATAAACAATGCTTTCATGAATCACTTTGAAAAGTCTAAGGCAGCAAAGACATTGCAAAGTAAGAGACATGCTAAATTGCAACCATTTTAGCAGAATGCAAAGTAAACAGATTACATTTAGAGCAAGGCAGGCTGTTTGATTTGTTAGTGCAAAACAAGGCGCAATCACAATAAAAATACTATATAAAGGTGAAGTATACCAAAATAACATGCAATTTGTCACTACACACAAGAATTGAGATATATTTTCATCGCATGCAGTCTAGAATGTGCAACATCCAACATTGTGCAGAGGGTCCTATAAATATGTATCAAATGTTAATAATTTGTTATATAATTATATTATTTATTGTTCTGCCTATGGTTCAAATCTATTCCTCTAAACTTGCCTAAAGTATAACATGCAAAGTTTACCAGGCCTTCAAGAGACTGTTTTATGAAAATTTGCTTAATAATTTCAGTGAATACAATACAAAAATATACTAGGGAGGAGTGATAAAAATTTTCTGTATTTGTGACTGCTACCACATTTTTTATATATTTTAATAACATTATATATATATGTTATTAAAATGTATAAATGTAAAATGTATTTATCAACTAAATCTTTTCTACTCCTATAAAATTCACCTCTGCAATATGTTTGTTTTTTAAGACAGTTGGAATATCAACACAGCTATGCAAACAAAACCTGACCTACATGTTTCCAATTTGGTACATGAGGACCCACATACACAATTCCTGTGCAACCAGTTTATTCTAACCTTGATGAAAGACTGATGAGATCAGCTGGGAGATGTTCCCCATTGGTCACTTTCACTATTTCCCCTACTGCCACCTACATATCCCAATTTAAATGATTAGAACAGAAAAATGAGTAACAGGAAAAAATCAAAATGGACAAAGAGACAAAAAGACAAAAAGAGACAAAGTCTGAAATTATTATATAAAACAATACATGTTAATAGACATATCTGATAACAATTTTTTCAAAATCCATTTAAATCAGGTCAGAGAGCAGAAGATAATATATTAATTTCTGCTCATCCAGCTTGCTTTTCATAAAATACAGATTCTAAGTTTCAGAAAACTTTGATAATGAAGTTAAAATAAAACGCGAGTATCGTATGTTCTCAAATCACTGTGGCATTAGAAGTAGTATTCAACTTTTTCTGAAAAGGTAAGAGGATAAGAATATATAATGTAAATAGAAAAATCAAATGTATCCACTCAATGTATAAAATTTGATTCTAAGTATTACTGATACCTAAATATTATAATACCTATTACATGGAGTACTGTTTCTATGTGGAACCTTAGAGACTAACAAAAAAATGTAGACGGTATCATGTGCCTTCACGGGTTGTGCCCATGAAAGCTCATGATACCATCTACATTTTTTGTTAGTTTGTTATTGAAAAAAACTTAAAAAATAACTAATAGTCTTGCAGCACCTTAGAGACTAACACGGCTACCCCTCTGAATCTACATGGTATGTTTGTACAGTGCCCAGCATTGCAGAGCCTTGGCCTTTAGGGAGCTACCATAAAAATAAATGTGATAGTTTGAAAAATAATAAAATATGGTCAAAAGATCATAGATCCTAATCTACAGACTGGATATAAGACTCAGACTATTATTCTAGTGAGATCATTGTTGTTTTTCTGTAAAAACAGATGCAGCGGAAGGCAGAATATCTGTCAAGCATGTGGCACACATTCTTTCTCTTATGATACAGTGCAACCATCACTCACTCTCTGGACTCTGAAGAAATTCAGTACACAAATAACTTGTTTTGATTGCAAGTATTGTATCATGGTAGAAAAATACAGGATGGAGGGAAACTTCAGGTCTGTCAGCCCTTGGTGGCCTTGGGGAAAGGAAGTTTCTTAAGTGGCCATTCTTCTTCACTGAGGCTCAAAAGCAGAAAAGTACTTTCACCATCTCAGGGATAAAAATTCCCTAAGTAATCAAGAACTCTGATTCAAATTCTCCAGAAACTACTACTACTTTCTAGAGAGTCAACCACATTTTAGCAACCTAAAATACATCTTGGCTTATAGAACCACATTAACATAAAAACAATCTACTTGAAAGTGTTCTGGCACACAAACTTGAAATTATGGATCCAATCCCTGATCATTGTCATTCATTCTGAAGAAGGGAAGGCTTTCTTGGTCTCAAAATGGATCCCCAAATGAATGAGTTAAAGGAGGAAGCACAGAAGGAGCTCTTTTCCTAATCCATATACCCATTCCCAGTCCACACCAGCCCATAAAATCAAAGAGCTATAAGCAGTTTTTTAATAACCACCCCACTGTCCTACATGAAATGGAGTTAGAAACAAGAGAGAATTTAACCATCTGAGCATGGATGGAGGGGAAAGATAGAGACTGGAGCCCCACACAGCTTATCAGGTCACTGCTTCTGTGCAAGACCTACTTCTGAAGTTCTGATCCCATGCAAGAAGAAAATATAGGGTGCTATAGTAGCATATAAATTATTCTGCAGCATTTAAATAATTCTTATTTCAAAGTATTCATTAGAATAGGTAGTACAAAAAGTGTATGACCTGATCAAACAGATTCTGAAAAAAGTGCATCATCTACATAGTAAAATCTGGATTTCATAAATAAAACTGTCCAAGGAAATGATGATAAACCACCTCTAAGAATATTCATTAACATAAAAATAACTGTTTATGCTGTTTATGCAATGTTTTTGATGTTATAATTAATATTAATAGAGTTTTTATTTCATGTTTGAAGACAGAAGCTTTGTATAATTTCAAATCTTGGTTTGACTATACTATTCAACATCTATATAATACTCTGCTCATAAAAACATCAAATCATAGGTAAAGTTTCATGATTGATAGTTTGGTGATTACTTGGTTATGTTCAAATTTGCTTTTGTTTTAATTTAAACTATCAAAATGAGCAACTATTCATAAAAAGAGACTTGTGTTGTATGGATCAAAATATCAATGTATCTTTAAAAATGACTGAATTTGTTATGCATATAATGAAAGTTAATCTGGATAAATGCAGGAGTAGACCTCTAATCGAACAGACAGATCCATGCATTATATCAAACAACAGAGTAAAATTTAAATACATTAAAGGTCCTGGTAATATCAAAACCCCTCAGTGATTAGCAGAACCCTCAATGTAATTCTAAGAAAACTGACAGGTCCACATTCTTTTATTTATTATATATGCTAAGCATGAAAAAGCTTTGAGATTTTAAGTACCCAAATATTGATTATTTTTCAATATTAAATGTAAAATTATGGTAGAGGTAAAAAGTATTTCTGTTTATTTCTTATTTCCTTGGAGCAATCACAAAATTAATGCAGGGTAGAGAAACCAGCCTCTACATTGTAAGCATCAGTGGGCATCTCTACCTTGATGAGAGAAGTACAGTGTCAGCAGGTATATACTCTTTGCCTTTTATTATAACTATATCTCCAACATCTACCTGTAAGAAAACTGGGAATTGGTTAACAGTCAAACACACAACCTATCTCTAACTTTTATGCATTTGTGAAATCTTAATTTGCCAAAAAAGAAAGTCAAAATTTAGGCAATGATTTTCAAAAGGATCTAGAAGTATTAGGTGCAAATTTCACTGAAATGAGGCCTTGTTTCAGTGCATTTCTAGTAATGGATGTATTCCACTTTAATTTCTCCTGTTATTGAGAACTCTCATTATTTTATAGCGAGATTTATATTTAGCCTAATTACACAAAAGGAAATTAATTTTGCTAAATTCAGAGTACTGTTGTATCACAGCAGATGTCTGTCCTGGTTCCAGCTAACCTGTATGTAATCCATGAAAACAGATGTGAACGTCATGAAGTTAAATCCTTTCTTTTTGCAATTAGATGATTCAACTCGGGGGAAAAGATCTGACTGATATATTCAAATCTACAAAGGCTTTTTTTTGTTTGTTTGTTTTTTGACAAACATTTTCAAAAACGCTTTGAACAGAATTTTGAGTGTTTCCCAGTTTTATTGTTATTAATACAATAATAATACAACAGTGTATTATTGTGGAATAATACAAAGCAGTATTATTCCACAACAATGTCTCAATGTATTTTAAATACAAGGCAAACTTTGCAAGTATATTATGTAACTTTAAAAACATTTTTTTCTAATCTTTTCTCACTATATAAAAACTGAGTTGCTTTTTTGTCTATTAATTTTAATAATGTTAAAGTACTTTTACAGAGATGCCATATGCTAATACACCAAAAGCTGAAATATTCATTCAAATCTTCCATTGAAATATTATGCAGGCAGACCTTTTGCTGACAATAAATGATAATTTGGCCTGAATGGGGAATTTGTTTTGGGGCCAAAAAGTACATTTTATTAAATACACTTAATATTCTAGAAAGTGCTATTAAAATTGAAAATGTTAATGTTTTCCATCCTAGTTGTAAATTAATTCATATGACAATCATATACTCTGATATAAAATACATAAAGTGCAACAAATGAAGTAACAAACAACATTTACATCCTAAAACCACATACACACCTTTTCCCAATGGACAATCTCCCAAGCACCATTTCTCAATACTGAAAAGCAAAGACATAATTAGACTGCATAACAGTAAAAGTGTTCTTTACAGGTGAAACTCCTCATGTGTTCCCTATTACTGAAAATCATATGTATGCAATATAGCAGTACAGGTTGAACCTCCCAAATCCAGGACTCTCTGGTCCAGCAATCTCTGTGGTCCGTCAGGGCCATGGATGTTGCTGGACCAAAGATCTCTGGAGGTGGGAGTGGGAGCCAGCTGGAAAATGCACGGCAGATGGCGGCTGGGGAATACTGGCCCGGCTGGAGAACCCCCGGCATCAGCAGGGCCAGGTGGCAAACAGGCAGCTCCCACCTCAGCCTGGTAACCTCTGGTGTCAGCTGGACCAGGTGGCAAATGAGGAGCCCTGCCCCAGCTGGAGAACTCCCTGCAGCAGTGGGGCCAGGCAGCCCCAGGCCAGGAAATCCTGGGAAACCCTTGGCAGGAGCAGGACTCGTTCTAGCAGTAGAGACAGTGGCAGCCGTGTGGCCCCAGCCACGAAACCCCAGAAATTACCAGCACCAGCTGGCATGGTGGCCCTGGCCAGGGAACTCCCCAGCATTATCTGGCCCAGGCAGACCAGGGAACCCCAGCATCAATGGGGCCAGGTAGCCAGGGAGCCCCAGCTAGAGAACCTGAGGAATCCCCAGTGGTGGCAGGGCAGGAGTGGCTGGAGAGCCCCGGCCAGAGAACCCCTGGAACCTGC